TAATTATCTCATATCCAACAAGCGCGAGTGGAATTATTGTTTTATTAAAAACGCCCCCAAGATATTAGACAAATCTTACCAAATCTTAAATTTTTTGGCTCCCTTTTAATTTTAACCCGACGCGCACGCTTACCATATTTGTAGGTTATGGTATATTGGCTCATATACCATAATGGCTAAACCAATAAAAAGTCTTGAATTGCATTATCCAATGATCCAGTTTTTAATAATATGATATGTATTTGAAGATATTTATAATATTTATTTGACCAGTTAATCAAAGCATTAGGTGTTTTAGGCATTCTTAGCTAGGTGTTATGCTTACTGTTTTTGAGTGTTAGCCGTTTACCATGTGACAATATTTGAATAGTGTTTGAAGATATTCAGAATCTTTCTTGATTCCACGGTGATGACCTGTTAACAAATCGAAAGTATTAGGTGTGTCAGGCATTCTTAGTAAGGTGTTATGCTTACTGTTTTTAAGTGCTAGCTGTTTACCAATTGTGCCAATATTTGACTTGTATTTAAAGATATTTTTAATAAATTATTTATTAATTCCAAGGTGATCAGAGACAGACCAGTTAACAAATCAAAAGCATTATATGTAGGTGTAAGCATTCTTGATTATGGTTCGGTACTATTTACATGCTTCAGTACTTTTTCAAAGTGTTACAGTGTAAGCTGTTTACCATGTGACAAGATGTGACTTGGATCAAATTTTTATTTTATAATGGAGTAAATATTTGCATAGTGCTGGACACACATGCATTTTGTTTTGTTTTTATTTCTCTCTTTGATTCCACCATGTTGAGCAAATCTGTGTCGATGTTTACTTCTGTCCTAATGAGCAAAACTGTTCAAAAATGAAATATTTTGTTGTGCATGTAAATGGAACAAATAAAGCGTAAATGTGTATCTCTGCCACAACAAAGTCTCGGCAAATGTTCACTTACACGTATTTTTACAGGATACGTAAAGAATAAGCGAATTTAGTATTTTGCCTTCAATGCTTTCCTTGCAAACAATGCTCAAACACGGCATTTGACTTTGCAGTAAACATGACCAAAGCGAGGCAAATATGGTCTTTGGCATCTGTGCAAATCCGTCCTTTCATGCAGCTAATTTATCCATTTACCTAGTATTTACTGCAGCAGTAAAGTTGAATTTTTTTTTGCATTTGCTTCACTATGTAAATGTCTGGAAACATGATGTTTACTTTTTGTGCAAAGGTCATCAAAGCAAAGGAAACATTTCTTTTGTTTGGCATTTGCTGTCAATGTAAATATGGAGTAAAAGCAACATTTAACATCTTTGCTTTACTTGTAATTGTAGTACAAACACAAAGTTTGACGCAAATACAATCAATGCAGTTTAAAGAGAGTAACAGTCAAGGGATCATGTATATTTTAAGTACTCTCAACCAATATATCGACCAATATAATGGTCAAGAGTAAGTCAATTCTCAACCTATATATCAGTCAACACTAAGTCAACACTTGGTCAACACCATCCTCGGAGACCCAGGGGCTGTGGGTCGATTTCAAGTTAGGGCATGAAGAGCCCCTGGGGACATTGTCTTACAAGACTAGTTTCAAACAATCGCAGTCATTCTGCCATCTGACTGGTGCCAGAAAATCTTTGTGCTTTTCTGCCCAATCAGATTGAAGTGTTCTTTGGAGTCCTTTCGTGTGTTGTAACACGGACAAATACCAATCGCTCAGTTGCTGGCTATTTTTGTTTGGGCCGTGCGACGGAGATTTGCTTGAGGTGAAAAGTTTCAGTCTCAGCACACAATGTAAGAGAAATCGATCAGATTGTCCGCGAAAATCTTACCGGAAATTATACTGAATACTTTCGCAGGTATAACTAGAGAACGTGTTTTAAAGTTTGGGAGGTTTTTATACAACACCATGGTTGCAGTCATTGATATGTCGCTTTAGACATTAAATGAGATTTAAGCTTAAATCTTCCTAAACTTTTTTGCTTTTTTGTTGTGACTGAAACTTTGCCAATCCCGTGAAGTTATCTCTCTATCTCT